TTAGCCAATTTTACCAAGAAAAGGAAAAAACTCATATCAATGTAATTAGAAAGGAAAAAGGCAAAATCACAACCGACACTGCCCAAATCCAGATAATTATACACTACCATAATCTAAAACTTATACTCCAATAAATGAGAGAAGCTAGAAGAAATAGAGAATTCCCTAGACATATAGGAATTACCAAAATTGAATCAAAAAGATATAATATGCTGAGTAGACCAATAATAGACAATGAAATAGAGGTAGTGCTAAAAACTCTACAAACAAAGAAAAGAGGACCCAGTGGATTCTCTGCAAAATTCTATCAGAACTTCAAGGAAGATCTAACACCAATACTCTTCAAACTCTTCAATGAATTGAAAGAGAAGGTATATGTACTGCCAAATTCATTCCTAGAAGCTAACATTACCCTCATACCAAACCAGACAAGGACTCAAATTAAAAAAGAAAACTACAGGCCAATCTCTTTAATGAACATAGATGCAAAAATCTTCAAAAAATACTGGTAATAGAATGTAACAAATCATTAAAATCATACATCTTGACCAGGTTGGCTTCATCCCAGGAATGCATAAACCAATAAATGCAATGTATCACATAAACAGAAGCAAGAATAAAAAATAATATTATCACCTCAATAGACATGGAAAAGGCCTTTGACAAAATCCAGCCATCTAGTCATGATAAAAACTTTGATGAGCCAGGGATATAGCTCATTGGCGCCGTGCCTGCCTTCCAACCGCAAGGTCCTGAGTTTGATCTCCAGTATTGTAAAAAAATAAATAAATAAATAAATAAATTCATACTTTTGATAATTAAAAGAAAACTTGATGAAAGCCACTTATGACAAACCCACTACCAACATCATATTAGAGAAAAACTGAAAGCTTTCCCTCTAAAATCAGGAATAAGGATTCTACTCTTACCATTACTGTTCAATATAGTACTAATAACTTTAGCCAAAACAATCAAGCAAGAGAAAGAAATAAAAAGGATATGTATAGAAAATGAAGAAATCAAAATATCTTTATTTGAAGATTATATGATCCTTTACATTGAAAACCCAAAAAAGTCTACCCATAGACTCCTCCATAAAGTCAACAAAGAAGAAGAATACAAAATCAACACAGAAAAATCAATAGCATTATTGAATACCAGCAATGAACTCATGAAGAAATTAGAAAATAAAATTTTGTTGTTCTGGGCCCTGACCACAATCTGTCATCAAGCTTGGCTTACAGCATTCTAGAGCTTCTCTTGCTAGTATCTCTAAACCTTTTCAAACTCCTCCCACAAGCCAGTTTCAAAGGCTTCTGAACAACACGGTCAGGTAAGTCACAGCAATGACCTCTCTTCTGGTACCAAAATCTGACTTCGTCACTATCTCATTGCTGGAACATGATACTTGACACCCATAACTTAAAGGAGAGGTTTATTTTGGCTCATGTTTGCAGAAGTCTAAGTTCTTGCATGATGGGCATCATGGTGGAAGGACCTGGCAGAAAAAAAGCTGCTCACATCACAGCAGGCAGGAAGCAGAAAGAGAAGGGAGGAGGTGGCAAGGGGGATATATTCTTTCTGGTCATTCCCCCAGTTACTTGCCTCTTCTGATGAGACCCCGCCTTACAACAAGTCAGCTACATTACCCCATGATAAGTCACCTTCCAAAAGCCCTACCTATGAGCGTGTGAGGCCTTCGGGGGACATTCTTGATCTTAACCATAACAGTATGGCAGATGGAAAATTCATTTTATAGATATAAGTGGATAAATAGCTAGAATTTAAGGGATTCAATTAAGTTAGGAGATACATTTTGGAAATTATTTCTTTAGAAGTGACAGGTGCCAGGATAGTTGCAATCATTTTGAAACAGGCTGAGGATAGAAGGATTTAGCGATTTATAATTTACAATAAAACAAAAAATCATGAATTATTATTTAAGAGGCTTAAATTATTAAATTGTAGTCATTGGGAAAAGTAAAGATATTGGAAACAAGTTACTTATGAGTTATTTTGAAATATTTGTAATTTCACTACATGTAGAATAGCTTTGGGTTTGTTCAGTATGCATGTGTTGTTTGCCTATGTGTTCTTTCATCTCGTTCTTCTGCTTCCTCTGCTTTGCTGTGTATTACAGAGGCTTAATTTCTGCCAGACATTCCCCAAGCTTCTTTTCCAGTTGGCTTATGGTTAGTTTTGACAGTAAGTCATTGGCAGGACTTTGTAGAGTAGGAGGTGGGATGAAGCCTGTGTATGCTTCTCCCTCTGTCCTCGCTTTGGCCAGTATTTCTGACATGGTTGTGTCTCATCCATGTCCCAGCTCTTTTGCAGTACCTGTACTCTTGGTGGCCATGGCTCCCACTGAGCAGCACTTGCTCCTAAACTTTTGTAAAACCACCTCTTCTTTTTGACCTTCCACCCCAGAAGTGTTAGCAACTTCCTGCTTTTGCTAATCCCTAGGTTCACTGTTTCATGTTTGTCCCTTTAGCTCTTCTAACATTTTTGTAACCAATTTTCCATGTTAAATTCTTTGTCTTAATTACTTGGTTTGGATTTTTTTCCTGATTGTACTGATTAATTTTATTGTCTAGTTGAAAATGCCAGAACTGGGATAACAAAGAAATAAATGGAACCCACTGTCAACTTCTGACCCTTCAATTCAATTAAATAAGATGTACAAAACTATTGTTTGCCATTAGTGAGTATAAATATATGAAATATAATTCATAAGAAGCACACCATGTAAAGCCATGTAAGTAAATTTAAAAAACACAGAATAGCATAGATGTAAGTTTCAGAGTTTAGAAGAGAGACTGATGCAACAGCAGGCATCAAGAGAAGACAATAGAGGAGATAAGATCAATGCTAAACTCTAAAAGTTGGAAAACCAGACCACAGAAAACAGAATTACAGACAGTATTATGGGTAGAAAGGGCAGAACAGAAAGAAAGAAGCAGGAGTAAGCACAGTGTGCTCCCAGAAGGTCAGTGGGTAAATTGGTTCAAATAATTAAGGACAGAGCACACCTCAGAGGGACTCCAGCAGTAAGAAGAGAATTATGAAGTCCATGGGATCCTAGAAATGCTGAATGGCAAGACCATGTCCTTTAGAAGATAAAGGCTATAACCCCTTCATCATCTGGTTAATGAAATACAAAACAAGAAAAGAGGTTATCGGCCAACTTTTATTCCCATTCCCTATCCACTTTACAATCTTACATTTTTTAGGGTCTCAGTTGCCCAATTGCAGCTGAGTTCATAATAAGGGAAAATCTTCTACAAGATTAAGATTTAAAAAAAAAAATGATTTGCATTGCTATTCAGATTGCTAAGTATATTTTTAGATTATTTACTATACACTTAATCTTATGCTTGGCCTAAGATTATGAGGTCAGTTTTATTTTTTTCATTGCCCAATTTACCCATTCCTAATAAATAAGATGACTCTAGTCTACAGAAGAGTAACAAGAGAGAAGAGTATTTTCCCTAACAGTTCTAGAACATGCCAACTTGGGTGTAACTCTGACCTTAAAAATCTAGGGTGGAAGAAATGAAGCAATACTCTTAACATAATATATTAATTGCTGTTGAAAAGTGAAAGCATACATAAAACCAAGAAAGAGCTTGTCATTCTGTATTTGATGTATTTTTTGAGAATGAAAATGAAAAGAAACATTAATGTAAAGGTTAAAAATTATTTTAGAGCTTATAAGTAAGTTAGCTTGACAGGTGGCTGATGAAATATAATTCTACATCCCATTTTATATTAAAGCGAATTTGTTTTGTCATGTGTATTATAATTCACATTAGAAAAGCTAGTAATCATTCCACTATTACCTCCAGTTTCATTGTGGGAAGAGCCTGGAGAGGCAATGGCTTAGCTCTTATCCAGTGCCAGGAATGAATTGAAGTCAGAACAAACTAAAGACTTAATTATAGCCTTTACATGAAAGCAGGAATAGTACACGTGGAACTGAAATCTTATCCAAGTAAAATTTTTTTTAAAATGAAGAGAATAAAAGAAGTGAAGCTGGATGGAATATTAACATTTAGAAGAAGAAATAAAACAACTTCTACACATCTATAAAGTAGTATTGGTAAGAATTAGGCTGGCAATTTGAGTCTGTGTAAGAATTTTCAACAGATTTTTGAGTCTATTTTCTTAACTTCTCCCAAAATAGTATTTCAGTATTAATAATAAATAAAGATTACAGTAAATATAGTCTATATAATTTTATGAAATAAAGACTTGTGTGACTTAAGCATAGTTTACAAAAGGTATAATTTCATTCATGGCTTCTGCTGGGAGATAAGAGACATTTAACGGAAAATACATTTTTAAAACAATCCTCCCAATAGTAGATAAGTCAAAGCTGAGCAGAGTCGCATAATGATGCCATTCAGTAAAATGAGCAGGACAGGAAATGAAGAAACATTAATCCGAAAGGCATTTTCAGTTCTGAGTAACGACATGGCAAGGCAAATCAGCTTAATTGTTACACTTCAACTTGATGATGATATTGAGCAGTCTCTTGAGTTTCACAAGATTTTCAGCTAACCCTTAATTGTTAAGTCATTATAACAACTACTGATGTGTCATCCCTGCTATAATTGTTTTAGTCTCTTTTTAGCACCTGTTTTGCATTTACTGTGAGTATTAAAAGACTTAACACAAATGTAAAATGAGACTATTACTTCTGTGAACTGTATGTATACATTCACTATAAAGCATTTTTAAGCACACACACAATCTAATAAGAATAACCTGTGCCTCTTACTGAGCCCATCTCTCAAGTCTGAAGGTCAAAAATTGTAAAAACAAACAAAAACAACAAAGGGCCACATGCAGTCAGCCAGAAAAACATTGAAAAGAAAGAAAGCAACAATTTTCAATAGCCAATTATTGTTAAGGAAGATTTATTTACCTTGGTAGCTGCTACATCCCCACCCCTCAAAAAAACAAACCAAAAAAACACCCTATTCCCCAATATTACTTACAAGGTCAAAGCTACAGTCGGCTTAACCTCATGGCCCTTGAAAAGGCTGAAGAGTCATGGAAAATGGAGTCACAGGAAGCAGCAGTGAGCCACTCTGGGTCCACATCTGTTCTTCTCATCCCACCCCTCTGCAACAGGCAAGCAGCCTGTAACAGGAAAGCCCTTGATAACCATCTTTTCACATTCCTGTGCTTTCTCAAAAGAATGAATTGGTTTTTATCTGAAAGGGTTTAAAGTGAACTTAGGTAGATAATTAACCAAATATTTTGATCTGTACTGATTGAGTATAACTTTATGTGATTTAACTGCAGAGCTCAGTTGCCAGTGCTAAAATATTGGTCACTGATAGCCTCAGAAGAATTTATTCACATCCACAGTATTAAAAATATATGTATCAGGATGTAGCTGTGAGATCTACATACTTTCTCATCTTTCTTGTACATCTCTGCAAGGACAAAAAAATACCTCCACTCGGACCACTGGGTCAATGTAGAGCCACACTCTGGGGCTTGTGACAGCACTTCTGTGAAAATAACTTAAGTTATGTTTTAGACCCACAGGACCTACAGAGTTCCATGAATTCCACGCTGGTTAGTACCTTCATGTCAATGTCCCTGTGTAGGCATATAACTCCTCTTCCACAGAGAGAAGGTTTTGAAATTCTTTTGATGTCAAAACTACCCAGCAGCTGGCTGGCCTCCTCAGCCCTGGAGCTGAAGTTATCTTGTTTTATAGTTGATGTTTCAATTCTTTCTTTAACATGAAAGCACAATGGATCAATAAGAGTTTTGAAAATCTGTACACAGATTTATTAACTAGTTCATTTTATTATGACTTGAGAAGAGTTTAGAAGGTGTGTCTTCCAACACAATCTGGAAAAGAGGGAAGTTAAAATGAATTACTTGGGCCCGGGATTTAGTTTAGTGGTTTTGCTGCCTGTGGCGCAAGCGCAAAGACCTGAGTTCAATCCCCGGTACCAAAAAAAAAAAAAATTTAAAAAAATGAATTGCTTTATATTTAGAAGTATTACATTAAAGAAAAAACATAAATACCTGCAACAGCTATTCAGGATCTTTAATATTTTTAGATTGGTGACAAAAATATCAGAGAATAACATCAGTAACTAAAATAGTAGATTCATAGAGACTGAAAGATGAAGATACAGCACAGATATCTGACAATAATGAACTTGTGAGCCTCAAAAGGAAAGAAAGGAAAAAAAACCCTTTTAAATTCTCATACAAGAAAGCACTATGCTAAGAGAATTCTCAAAGATTTTTTCCTATTCCTGCTGTAGCAGATAAATGGCAGTGTATATTTTGCAGAAAGAGAAACCAACTCACAGAACACTGAGAGAAATTAAAAGAGTTATCAAAGATTACACACCAAGGTCATTTTTGATTTTCAGACTCAAAATACAATGCTCTGACCACATTATTGCATAATTGTTTTAGAGGTCATTTTATTTATTTATTTATTCATTCCCATTAAGTTCATTGGTACATTTCAGGTATACAATACAGTTATATTCATCATTGGGAAGAGGTCATTTTACATGAAAGCATATTTTCTTTCATTGTCAGAGAAAAAGAATTTTTTAAAATTTCACTAACTATAGCAGAGCATGTTTAAATAGAGGGGAAAGAATAGCTTCTTTTTTGTTGCAACTGACATAAAGCCCCATGGTTTTGTTTTCTTAATGCTACAAGGCAAAAAAATGTTTTACTCTGCACCTTCTCAGAAGCCAGTTGAAAGTCAGCAGATACTTTCACAACAGCCTTGATAGGTACTTTTTCTGATCTCTAACTTTGTGATGAAGGAGGTATAATTTTTAACACAAAAATTTTATGGCAGACTGAGGATAGAAGAAAGAAGCAGGTGCTGAGTGATATAAAGACACGTAAGATCAAGTTAGACTTGAAATACCATTTCCATTTTTTTTCTTACTTGAAAGCCAAGAAAGGGGTTTACTCCTTACCGAGAGGAGAGTCTGAAGATGAAAATGAAAGTTGTGGATTTCAGACTAAAATTATCTTTCCATCATAGAAAAAGCATGAGTTGTATGGCTTTTGGAGAGTATTAGAAGATGGGTCTTTGAGAAAAATCCTGTTAAAGGGATGAATTGTTACGATAGAATAGTGCAAGTGTGGCAAATTCTTTTGCTATCTGTGAACACCATGGAAAGAGACATATAATTGTATCTGTGGATTAAAAGGCATTCTAAAGATATATGACTTAAGATGAATGTAAAATATGAGTCTAGAAATATCTGCTTTTCGCTGCTGCTGCAGGGTTTGATTCACAAATGCATTTGATTTAGAGAAATGGCATTTTGTAATGTATCCACTGGCATAATAGATGATCCAACATTCATTTAGTACTTTTCTCTGTACTGCTAACAGAATGCATTAAGATTTAGTAGAATTATCTGAATTTGGGGCAGCAGGGGGAGGGTGAGCTGCAGAGATTAGAGGTGAGAAAAGGTTATAGTATAGAATGATGTCTTTTAGGAAATAATCTTACCTTATGGCAATACAAAATGAGCCACTAGTGAAGGTAATTATAGAATATCTATTTGGGTTTTTTTCAAGCTGAGTCCAGTAATGCTTAATGATTGGCATTATCAGTACACACACATATATATTGCATTTTCTTGGTTTTGCTCTCATCTTATTTAATATTCCCTCATAAGTTTTCACTTAAAACACAGCATGGAGATGTAGAAAGAAAATCATATGGGTGCATAAATAATTCATATGCACCTGAAGGCATAAAAATCATGCTAGACAAAAACTAGTAAGAAAGGTGAACAAGAAGTTAAATTTAAATGTTAATAGGGAAAAAACAGTGGACATCTAATGAAAGGAGTCTGAAAACTAATATTTAAAAATGACATCACACTCTCAATCACATTCACAGTGAGGTCGTTTGTAACCTAAGCCTTTGGCCAGTATCATGGCAATTGAAATAATTCATCAGGGATTGTCTTGAACTTGAACAGCTTTTAGTGCCTAGAGGACTGTTAATGCTAAGATACAGAACTATCAGTTCAATACAAAGAGATTTTCCATTCTATTTACATAATTTCTTCTTTACCTTCTAGGATAATATTCTGAGCTATGCCTGTTTCTGAGAAGCGCTTGCCAATCCACTTGCAAACTTCAACAGCAGTAGTATTATGTCTGTAGACTTTATAATAACAGAAATTTTAGTACTGAATAAAAGAAAGTGATTGCACTTTTTAAAGAGATAGTGTATGTGTTTAAAAGATGAAAAATGGTGGGTGTGGTGGTACATGTCTGGAATCTCAGGTACTCAGGAGGCTGAGGCAGGGACATCAAAAGTTCCAAGCCAGCCTGGGTAACTTAGTAAGACCCTGTCTCAAATTAAGAAATAAAAGGCCTGGGGATATAGCTTAGAGGTAGAGTTCTTGCCTAATATATGCAAGGTCCTGCCTGGGTAGAATCCTCAGTACTAAAAAACCTTTTTTTTGAGAGAGAAAAAGTTTTAATAGTCCTAGATTTGATATTTTAGAAGGCATTTATATTTTTATTTTGTATAGATATATTTATATAATTTATATTTTTATTTTATATAAATTTATGTATTTACAAGGCATTTATATTTGTATAAAGTGGCATTTAATTGGGTAGTATTTAATAGTTTATTTTCCTGTATTGATGTACAAAAGAGAAGAAAATAACAATAATCTAAAACTGCAAAAAAATTTAAGTGCACAAATATAAAAGGCAACCAAACTACCTTCATGTGTATTAGTTTTATACTTTCTTATGTAGATATCTCCTTTTATTCTATATATTGATTGATTGATGATAATAATTATGGTTAACATGAGTTAATATTATGTATCAGGCACTAAGCTAAATATTTTACAAGATTTATCCCATTTAATTCTACCAATAACCCTGTCAATTATCACTAACTTATAAATGAGGGAATGTTGTATAAATGAAGAAACATAGATAAGAAAATTCTCCAATGTAATAAAACTTGTAAATGATGAGCTAGATTTCAGCAATCTGAATTCTGAATATGTATTTTTTAAATGCTTTATTATTTTTCTAACCTCATCAAACAAGAAATTATCACAGATTCTATTGTTATGAAACAAAATTAGGTAGTGTTCAGTTTCCCTTAGATCTTTACTAGGGTCTGGTGAACTGAAAGGCCTTCAATTTGAAGATGATTTCACCTATCAAATATTGTCTAAAATATGACTATCACAGATTATGAAACAATAATTCTCGGCACCATTATCTGCCAATCATAACATCTCACTTTTTATTCAACAAGTATTTATTGGTCATGAACTATGTACCTGGCTTTTAAAAACAGTAAGGGAGTGGGCCGGGGATTTACCTCAGTGGTGCCACTGCCTGCCTCACAAGTGCAAGGTCCGGACTTTGATCCCCGGTACAAAAAAAAAAAAAAAAGTAGAAGGGGTGAACACACAATAAAATATACCAATATTTTATCTGGATAGATATCTTTCAGCAAATTTCACTGATATGTCTATGCTTGCTTTCATTTCAGTACCACTACTTTTTCTGATTTCAATCATTCTTTCTTCTAATGAAAGGTACTTTAGCCAAGAAAAGGAAGATCATTTGCAAGTGAGTGAAAGGTTCCTTCCCAGCCTAGAATTGCCTTCCTAGAAGTTCTGTTAGTTTGTCTCTTAATTATCGTAGGTTTGGGTAATGAAGAAGCTAGGCGATAACAGTTGTGAGTGCAAAGACCTTTCAAACTCTTCCCAGGACTAGGGGCTCAGTGGGGGCCACCTGCCCCAGCCTAAAGGAAGTGCAAAGGAGACAGAGGGAGAAGAGGCAAAGGCCGAGACATCAATGGCGGAGAATGACTGCAGCAGTCCCCCCAGCTCTGCTACTCTCTCTATTGTGTCCAGGCCTGTACTGTATTTTCACCCTCCTTTGCTCTGTCAAGGATGAAACTGTTCTTCTTAGTGAAGTTGTGATTTATAAGAGCAGTTGGTATTTGTGGTGGTTAATTGATCGTCAACTTGAGTGGAGACTTCCCACCTGAATTGAGTCAGCATGGTTCTGGGCGTGGAAGACCCACTTCAGGGAGGATTATTGATGGAACAGTATAAAAGGAAAAGAGGGGAGGGGATTTCAGCTGATTTCCCTTGAAAGA